TGCTTCACGCCCTGACACCTGCTTCACCCACTGACACCTGCTTCACGCCCTGCCACCTGCTTCACCCACTGACACCTGCTTCACCCCCTGACCCCTGATTCACGCCCCCGACACCTGCTTCACGCCCCGACCCCTGCTTCACCCACTGACACCTGCTTCACCCCCTGACACCTGCTTCACCCCCTGACACCTGCTTCACCCACTGACACCTGCTCCACGCCCTGACACCTGCTCCACGCCCTGACACCTGCTTCACCCACTGACACCTGCTTCATGTCCTGACACCTGCTGTCTTCTTCTGCTCCAGGGGTTCCTATCCCACAGGCTCAAGCAGTCTCTGCGCCGCACTCGCTCTCAGCCCAAACTGTCGCGTCACATCAGCCTGAAGTCCGACTCCACCAAAGCTGCAGACAGCAGGTAACCTGACTGACCGAGGCCTGATCACACCGGGGCAGACAAAGCAAGCACAGAGTCACCCCTCCTCCTGAAACCCCATCATCCTGGCTCATATATTAACCAGAGGCAGAACAGGACTAGGCCTGATTCAGCATTGAGCTGCTGTGACTCTGCAGGATTGGATTTTAAGCAGAACTTCAGCTGAAGGAACCATGTTCAGCTGTTCCTCCTCAGGGACATTAGAGCTGCTCCCTTAGTCTATCTGGAGACTCTGAGCTTTCATCTAGAATGTGACCAGCCTGCACTTCATCACTACTTCACTGCCTGTGGTTGTTGTTTTCAGGTTTATATTGTCATTCCACTGTCAGGAAACCAAATCCCTCTTTGCAATTAATCCATCCCCTTGGGGACCAGTGGGCTGCCATTGTGCGGCACCTAGGGAGCAGTGTGGGGTAAGGGTCTTGCTCAGGGAGCCAGAGTGGCAGCCTGTGGGAGTGGGACTTGAACTCAGAACCTCAGGATTCCAAGCTCTATGCTCTATGCTCTAACCACTAGGCCACGTCTCCCCCGAGCAGTGATGTTGCCTCGTGTGGTGAGTCAGGGTTAAAACAGTGACATCCAATCAGCTTCCCATCAGAGCCCATAGAGCCACTTGGACACAACAAAAAGACGTTTTAATCACTTTTTCTGAAGATAGGTTTTGTAAAGTAAATGTCTGCTGTAGCTTCTTTAGTGGCCTCATTTAGCATAGAAAGATCAAAATAGATACAACTGAGTAACATTTCTACTGATTTCTATAGGAGGACCAATTAGGGTGGTTCAGAGTGGTTCAGAAACATGGGAAGGTTTGGGAATGGTCTTGTCGAAGACCAGACTGGGACCAGATTCAGATGTCTGACCTTAAAAGGCTGTTTCTTCTGGAAAACTGTTTAAGCAGGCTAAGCTAAAACAATTCAGTTAACATCGTGTTTGTGCACCACTGCACTGATATAGAACACATAATTATTGGTTGATTAATGGAGTTATTTCCTTTTCAGATTAAATGTGTGAAGATAATAGTGGGTAGGTCTGCGGGTGTTTTGAGCAAAGCAAATAGAGTCTAAGATGGTCTGAAAGGCTACATTTAGGCTTTGGTGTCAATGGGAATGTTAAAATTAGAACATTAGACTGAACCAGCTAAGAAATAAAAAAACTGACCTGAAAGTTAACAATGAGGACCTTCCTTCCTTCCTTCCTTCCTTCCTTCCTTCCTTCCTTCCTTCCTTCCTTCCTTCCTTCCTTCCTTCCTTCCTTCCTTCCTTCCTTCCTTCGATCCAGGGTTTCATAGAACTTCCAAAACCAGTCTGTGAGAGTGAGGCTGTCTTACTGGAGACTAACGATTGGTCTGTGAAGGGAGGGGGCCAGAGGACACCCATCCATCCTGTGCACTGGTTTCACTGGTTATAGCAGTTTTCTGACTGGTTGGTTTTAAACAGATGAAGCAGTTAAGTTCAGCAGATCAGTGTTCTCCACTGCATCATCATTAGATCATATATGCTCCTTGTCTCCTCTCCCCTCCAACAGAGGAGAGAGGAGACGAGGGGAGGAAGTAGGGCAGCTTCACTGCAGGGGAGGGGCGACTGCTGCTGGGGGGGAGGGGGGAGTCACATAGAGACAGACAGACGGAAAGAGAGAGGGAGCAGTGATGCTGTGAAACTTCATCAGCAGACAGACAGACCGACCGACAGGATCAGCAGCTCCTCCATCTTCCTCCTCCTCCTCCTCCTCCTCCTCCTGCTGCTGGTGTTTGCTGCTGAAGGAGGACATGGCTGCATAACCCCCCTCCCTCCTCATCCTCCTCCTCTTCCTCACAGGATGCTCGGTGAGTCTCATTAACCGTCTTTGTCCTCTGAGCAGATAAAGCTGCGGCAGTCTGTGTGAGATGCTGCGTCTTCAGGGACGCGTCCCTCTGATCTCCATGTCCATAATCCTCGGCGTGAGTGTGTGTGTGTGTGTGTGTGATGTTTAGCTAAACATGCTAACAGTGTGTGTTAGCCCATGCTAACGGATCAGCCTGAATAACACACACACACACACACACCCAGCGGGTGTGTAAGCAGCCTGCATTCAGCAGCTGATCCTCTGCCTGCCTGGTTCTGTGCTGATCTGGACCTGAATCCAGACCGTCCTTTCTGTCTGTTTATCTTCCCTGTGATGCTGGAAATAAGGCCGAGCTGTTGCTAGGCGACAGCATACCTGTAACCTGTTTCAACAAGGTGTTTGTGACGTCAGCATCACCCTGTGGGCTGAAGCCCTACTGAGGATGGTTCTGGTCTGACACAGAACCTGTTGGTTATACTCTGGGGACAGTTCTGCTCCGTTCCTCCGTTCTTCTCTGCCTGGGCCCAACCTTTGGTTCCACATAAATCACATCAGATTTGAAGTAGAACAATCATCTTCCAGTAGAACCAGAACAACCAGTATGATCAGCAACCAAAATACCAAAAATCTGCCTAACAGTGGAGATGTTCCTCCATCCAGAACCTACAGCGGATGGTTTCAAGGACTGGTTAAGCCTCCTCAGACAAACCAACTCAGTTACATCATCCAAGAGTTGGACTAGTTTACAGTTAGGTCATCCAAGAGTTGGA